GCCGGGCGGGAGGCGCGTGGAGCTCCGAAGGAGCGTGTCCCAGCGCGGAGGCTCGGCGGCTTCCCTCCTCCGGAGGTCGGGCTCCCGCTTTCCGGACCCGCCCGGCGACCTCGCCTGCGGCGGGGCGGGCGGCGGCGGCGCCCGGGCATGGCTTCGGCGGGCAGCGGCATGGAGGAGGTGCGCGTGTCGGTACTGACCCCGCTGAAGCTGGTCGGGCTGGTGTGCATCTTCCTGGCGCTGTGTCTGGACCTGGGCGCCGTGCTGAGCCCGGCCTGGGTCACGGCCGACCACCAGTACTACCTGTCCCTGTGGGAGTCCTGCCGGAAGCCCGGCAGCCTGGACAACTGGCACTGCGAGTCCACGCTCAGCAGCGGTGAGGGCCCGGCGCGCCGCGACCCCTGCCTCCCGTCCCGGACTGCCCCGCGCCCCGCTGCCAGCACAGCCTCCGCCTCTCCCCGCCTCTCCGGCTCCCCTGCGCTAGTCCGTCCCGGCCCTTCGCGGATCCGGGGGCTCCGGCCCCTCCCGGGCGTCCGCCCCTCTCCCCTCCCCATTCTTGGTCGCCAACCTAAAGCGACGTCCCACGCCCTCTTCCTCCTCCCGTGGCCATTCCTCCCGCTCTGGAGTAACACGTCTGCTATTTTGGGTCATTGTTATCGTTTAAGACGAGAACCATGTGGCTGTGTAAAAATTGCAGCGCCTTCCACACCCTCTTTAAGAGAAACGGGCAAAAACGCCCAACTCCGCCTAGATGCTGCGGGTTCTCTGCTCAGTTTCTTTCCCACTCTCTTCTCTCTTTTCCCTCTTCTCTTGGGGAGGAATTTGCCTAGTTTTACCTCTTCGTGTTCCTGTTTTTGCCTGTTCTGCTCCACCTTATTTGAGTTTTCCCAATGAGTTTTGATTTAGGTTTTATATCCTTAGTTTTTTGAGGAATGTGAGGAGTTCGGAGACAGGCTTAATTTCCTTTCCTTTTTTGGTGACATCGTCCTTGGTTGTTATGAGTTGCCTTTCTTTCTCTCTCTGAGTAACTCCTCTCTCCCCCAGACCTTTCTTTCTCTTCTCCATGAGCTACCCACAGACGCCTGGAAAGTTGTGCTTTATTCAGCTAGTCCTGAAAGCTGCAGATGGGTGGGATTTTGGGGGTGGGGTGGAGAAGTAGGTAAGCCACTGGGGCCACCAGTCTTGCGGGAGGGGGTGCTTCCTCCCTCCCTGAACCTCCACTTGGTTTCCCCAGTGCCCTAGTCATGCCCTTAGCAGAAATCTGCCAACTTCTGATTTCTTGTTGCAAAACCTTTCTTGTCTAATCTTGATTCTTAAGCTGCTGTTGTCAGCTTAGAGAAAGGGGAATAAAAGGAGAGGACCTGCGGGTGATTTTCTCTCTACACACACACACACCTGAGAAACTCATTAAATTCCTTCCTGACAGTTTCATGTCTTCGCTGGGACTATTTATAAAGCTTTCCTGGAAACGTTTCAAGTTCCAACAAAGTTTAAATAGCACAAAAAGCCACAAAAATCTGATTTTTCTTTGTCTTTGGTTTTCTGTTATAAGAGATTAGTTCACTTGGTTAAGTTTCTTCCGTACATTTAATTTTGTGTTTATAAAAGACTTTTTCTTTGTTATTACCTCAAAATTCCCATTGAAAGGGTTGTCTTTGTTGATTAATTCACTGTGGAGGGGACTGGTTGGCTGCAGGAGGTCGACATTTAGGTCCTTTAATTTTTTCAGGGTTGGTTGTTTACAACTATAGATAAAGTAAATCTGCAAATTCCTTTCTTCTGTAACCAGGGGATCCAAATAAACTTTGGCGAAAATATCTTTTCTTTCCCCTCTTCAATAGAAATGGAAATTTATGTAGGAATGCCAGCTTCTGCAGGTCTCCTTAGCAACATGAATCTTTTGCCCCTTTCTTTCTGTCTCCTGAAATAATAGCCCCCTGATTGCATAAAGACTTTTCAGATAGGTTAAAGAAACCAGCTTCAATTCTCATTTGCTCTTCAGGCGGGTATCCTTTTCTCTTGGCCAGGGATGTAGGGAGTGGGAGAAGCCAGCTCGAGTTTGTTGAGCTGTATGCAGTGTTTGCTAATCTTTTCTTAATTGCCTCCATACCCATTTATCTCAACTTTTTTTGCCCTGTAGGCAAGGAAATAGGGGAACACAAGCTTAATACAACTATAGTGGTAATTGGACTCTGTAAAGTAAAAATCAATGGCAGACACCGTTTCTGATTCCCGCCCCCTCCAAACCTTTTATTCTTCACCCTTGCTAAAACTCATACCCCAGCATGTATTTCTATTTGGGTTCCTGAAAGTCAGCTTTTGTCTTATTTTGCTTAAAAATAGTTTTCAGTTTCTCCCCCCAAGGTAGACTTCATAAGCAAATGGGTAAAAAGTAGAGATAGTTTTGTTAGAAGCTATCTGGAACAAGTTTTTGACTTTCAGTATATAGTAGCAATTCATTATTGCTGTCTTCTGTGGTGGGAAGTGAGCGCGGGTGGGGGGGGTGTGGAAGAAAAATGAAATGTGGAAAAATGTTCGTGTCCCCATTTTACAAAAGGTGCTTTCTTAAAATGTTACATGGACCTGAAGCTCTTATCCATCAGTGTTTTGAAAGGAAGGGGAACGCCTGAATTGAAACCAGCAATGCTTTTCTTGCCAATTCTAAAGGACAGGCAGCTTTTTTCAGCGTTTGCTCTGTGGAGTAGCAGAAAACAGGGAGGGAAATGTCTTCTCTGAGATTTTAAGAGATCCAGTTCATTGTCTCTTGAAGTAAATTATCTTGGGAGAACCCATCAAGGATAATATTACTGAAGGCCTTTCACCAGGATCTTTAGGGCTTAATTAAAAACCTGTCTTAATTAGAATTAAAACAACCATGAACAGGCAAGCTTGTATTTACAGAAGGAACATTTCAGAATGTTTCTGATGATAATATGTCCAACTTAGACCCAGTTCCTACAGAAATTTTCCCTTAAGCCATTATTTTTAAATTTGCATTTTAATTTTGGTACCAAATGTGCATCATTTGCTGTTTATAACCCGTTTTATGGTTTTAAGCAAAGGCAGAGCCATGCCTCTTGTGTCCTGGTGTATTGAAGTTCGCGTCAGCACTTCTAGTATGAACCAGTAATCCTGTTGTCAGTCAGCCCTAATGCCTTTTTCTGGTATCCAAGTTCAGTGTATAGAAGACAGTTCAGGCACTCACTTAAATTGTACATTTTCCAAAAAGACAAGTGAGAAAACAACTAATTGTCATTCATGGTGGAAACAGGAAAAAAAAAAAGTAAAATTGTTAGGAAGTTTGAATATACAGTACTCGCTTGGCTGCCAGGCACAGAATTATTTTCCAAATATGATTTCCCCTACCCTTTTAATTAATCTTAAATCTTATACAATTTATAGTAATATTCTAGACTTTTGGTTAGTCACATTTGGTTTAGGTAACTTTTGTCCCCTATAATATAGTTGTTAGGATTTCACAGCTATAGCAATTACTAGAAAATCTTTAGTGCAAATAGGATTGGCTCAAGTGTATACAAAATACTGACACCCTAAATTTAGCATCAGATGTGCTGTTTAACCTCCAAGGAGATTTTACATTTCTTTTTTAAAATCTATAAACGCATAGCTGTTTCATATAAAGCAGATTGCTCTTTTTTGATGTCTGTATATTTTGTTGACTAAGCAAAAAAGAAAAGGGCATACAGATGGCAAAAGAAACACATTTTACTGTCAGTAATTTGAGCATATAAGACGTGCCTTTATCTGTCTTTTCATCCACAAAATACTTGATCAAATAGTGTCTTTTTCAAGGGATGTGGTTAAAGTGAGTACTATCCTAAAAATAGCTACATTTGTAACGTGAATCTCTGGTAGTTTTGAAATGGCAGTACTATGCTAATAACAGGTGAATATTATTATTTCCAATTGACAAGAGATTTTTTTAGTGCTTTATATGTAGATCAGTTTTTAGCTTTAGTATAAAACCTACTTAAAATGAAACTTCTAAGAAAACCTATCTTAGGTGGTAGTTTAAGATAAAGAAAACTGCCTGAATTCCTGCAAATTTTAGAAAATCTGAGATACAGTGATTCTGAATTCAGACATATATCATCTGTGCATATGTTGAATCTGTACCTTCACTGGGAAACCTTACAATGTGTTTGAAATGAATTGATACTAACCCATGTTTACAAATAGCTCAGCAAGTCTGGAAGTCACCACAGTTATACCTTCTTCAGACTTCCTTGAAAAGAATATAAGTAGAACAAATGCAGTTTCGTTTAACCTACACAGCATAAGTGAGTGGAAAATTAGCAGAGTACTAGTTAGCACCAAAACTTTCTCAACTACTAAATCAGAGATATCACTTATAACTTATCTCAAGATCTTCATGACGATTTTCTTTTAATATTTTATAACTTTTTAGGTTCCCCGGCTTTACCTTTACTAAGGACATTTTAATTTGTGAGCAGATAGAATTCCTCTTTTACTCTAGGGAGCCACATAGGTCAGTCTTTGGTAGCTAAGGGGTTTTGATGGGTGTGGGAAAAGCCTGGCCTTTAATAAAACATTTCAAAACAAGACAAAAACAAACAAAAGCATATCTCAAGAAATAGATTTTACCTTCTTTCAAGAATACAAGTTTCTGTTTAATAGGAAGGCCACCACTTACGGAGACATAGATACAACCAGTGCTTACTAGATAACATTAGTTAAAGGGGCTGTAGATGCTTCAAAATAAAATTATCTGGAATATATTACCACAGCAGGGAGCTTTCTGAACCTTTTTTGGTTCTGAAGGATGCCTGAAAATACATACATACGTCCCACAACAAACTTCCATAGCAGCTATGCTAAGTTATAATGTAATCCTAGCAGGGGAGAGTAGTATTGTGGACGTGAGACTTTGGATTCTAACTGACCTGAACTTGGCCGCTTACCAGTCATGTGATCTCATACAACTTAATGTCTTCAAATGGTTTGTCATGAAGATTAAATATATGAAAGTAACTGTTCATTAGCCCTGTGTTTCTTCCTCATTATGTATTCAGAAAAACCCAGTGATATTTTTCAATAATTGAGGACTTTTTCCCCCTTAAGTAGTAAAATTTCTTTGCATAATGAAGTACTTTTTAAATTTCAATTTGAAATTTTGATATGCATTACCTAATATTTAGCAATGTTCCTGGTAGATCATGATAAAAAACTATTATTCAATAGTCACCTTTTATTCAGTACTATTACAGACTAGACACCTCAATTATTTCCAATGTCACAATAAACTGGCAAGGTAGTTCATATTATCCCTGTGTATTACAGAGGAGACCGGGGATTTTTGTAAGGTTACCAAGGTCTCAATTGGTGGTAGAGACA